TTCAGGAGCAAGCCAATGTTGAGATATGCAGCTAGTGTACATATGAACACAATATGAACAGTTTGTGAACAATAGTTCCTTCATTATGAACACATTCAGGAGCAAGTCAATGTTGAGATATGCAGCTAGTGTACATACGAACCCAATATGAACACTTGTGAACAATTATTTAACAATTACATATGAATTCGAATTCTGATTGTAGTCGTAAACGATTTTAACCTTTTCATTTTCATTGTTGTCGATCTGTTTTCCAATAGGTTTATTCATATTACTCGGACGATATCGAAATCTTTACAACCGGAAATTCTTTAACAATTACAAAATCAAAATCATTATGGATAGAATAAATCGAAATTACAAAACATGAATACGTATAAAAAATATCAATATTACATAATCATCAATTATTGAGATTTTTATATTTGTAACTCCCAATTAATGATTTGGGAGTTACATAAATGACAAATTACCTAATTACCCTTGTCATTAATATATTAGTTATATATGTGAACCTAAATAAAAGATGGAATATGATTGGTTGAGCTTGGTTAACAAAGTTAACACAAAACTCTTGGTTATATTTGAACCAACCCCTATACATATAATAAAAAATATATAGAGCGAGAATATCACATTTTGGATGTTTTAAAAAGCTAGAAATTAAAAACTTACATTGTTGGATTATTTGATGGTGACCGATTAATCTACACCAAAACCTTTTGGGGTTTTTAAGACCTATGGTTGACTAAACTGAAAATGAGAGAGGATGGACGACATAGGGAAATGGAAATGGAAATGGAAATGGAAATGGAAATGGAAATGGAAATTGTAGATAACAGTGTAGTCACTTGAAATAGGTATATCAGTTGGTAAATGGGCAGTACCTACAACACCGTAACTCATATATATCTGTTAATTTGTGCATGCGAGTTCTTTGGCATTGCAGATATGGCTAAGTATTTTGTCTTTTCGTCCTATCATATTCCGTTTTTTCCTTACCCAGCAAAATAGCACGAAAAATATATTGCGGGGTAAGGAAAAAAAGGAATATGATAGGATGGAAGACAAAATACTTAGGGGTCTGTTTACCTAAATGTTTGCCCGGTAAGTGCATCCCGATAGGATTTAACATTATAATTTATTTTGATATGTAAGATTTTAGTATATCAAATGCAACAAGTTACTGGGTAAGTGCTTATATGGGTAAGAGTAGCCATCTTTACTTACCGGGTTAGACTCTCTATTATTTTCATTGCTCTTACCCGGTAAGATTCTTGGCCCTTCTCATGTTCATCCGATAAAAAAATTTATCCGCTAAGCACTTACCAAGTAAGTGTTTAGTAAACACCCTTAGCCATATCTGCTTTATTTTGCAACCACATTTTAGTAGATGTCCCGAACTAAACCAATGAATTGATGTAAAACGTGATCAAATACTCTGACTTCATAGTTGTTTGAATGCTTAGAAAGTTATTTGCCGGTCCGAGAGGAATTCGCCCATCTCGACGGACCCACGTGGTGAATGTAGTGGCACGAGTCATCGCTTCTTTCCTCAGGTTCGTGAAAAGTGTCATCATATCATATCAGTTTGTTTTCTGCCACCATATATATTTTAAATCTACAATAAAGACACAAGTTTTCCTTGGTAGAATTGGTTTGTAAAGTTTTTTTTCTCCCTAGACCCAAATTTGAATCCAATTAGTGTCATTTTTAGTTTTTGACTTTAGATTTATCATGTTTCTAAAAAAAATTGCAATAAAAAACTTGAACACATGACCTCACATATGAAAAACAATGAATTAAATCAAATCAATGAGAGCCCTGTCGTACCCGAACCCTGTCACACCACGAAGCGCTGTCTGCGAGTCGAGTTGTTTGGGAATGCAGCCCAATAGGACAGTAAATTCCGTCCAAGGCTAAATACCGGCGTGAGACCGATATCAAACAAGTACCGCGAGGAAAAGATGAAAAGACTTTAAAAAGATAGTGCTTGAAATTGTTGGGAGGGAAGCGGATGAGGCCGATGATGCGTCCTGGTCGGAGTTGCAAATTCACAATAGATGTAAAAATTCATTTTTAATCTTTACACATCTATCAATCTCAAAACAATTCCAGGATGATACTTTGTATAACCGAATTGAACATGGGATGACGTGAGATCGGCCTGTTTTCGTAAGATCCATGAGACCACTTTGTAAAACCGAATTGAAGAACTGACAAGTAAATAGACTTATATCTATCGACATATAATAACTTCTATATATAAATATATACACCATTATAACATCACAAGGTATTTGAACATGCGAATATGTAAGACATTAATTATTGTACATGGTCCATAATCCCAGCTCCTGTACTGATATAACTTGAAGATGGAAGACAGGAGTCTTATATATATACATACATACATATATATATATATATTATATATATATATATATATATATATATATATACAACATCCATCTCTTAGGTTGTGGGAAAATTTTCATAGAAAGGAACCTTTACTTACTGGTTCATGTGCTGAAGCATCCATGGGGGTAACACTATTGATGGTTGAGCAGTTTCTCTTGGGATTTCTTCTTCTACTGCTCCATTACCTCCTGCCTGCCATTCATTACTGCATTCCATATATATATGCTCACAAATTAAACTCATCTATATTTATTTACAACTCTCAATATATATAGACTTGGTATCCCGGCCTGTTTTCGTGAGACCACATTTTCACTTGAAATTTCACAGCAAAACGCTGTAAAGAGTGTTTTTGTTGTGAAGGTTTGGCTTTTTTTACATTCACAACGTTGTGTTGTGAAGTTTCAAGTATAAAAAAGTGGTCTCGGGTCTCACAAAAACAGACTCGTCTCACGTGAACCCAATATTTATATATATATATATATGTATATATATATAGAGAGAGAGAGAGAGAGAGCGCTTGGTTCAAATGTTAATCAAGATTATTGTGTTAACTTTGTTAACCAAGCTCAACCAATGAAAATCCATCTTTTCTTTAGGTTCACATACATCTCATATGTTAATGACAAGGGTAACTAAGTAATTTTATCATTTTGTGTAACTCCCCTATCATTAATTGGGAGTTACAAAATCTAAAAATCTCATAATTGATGATGATTTAATATTGATCTTGTTTTTCAATTTGTGATTGTTTTTTAAATTTGATTTATCTATCTATAATGTTATTGAATTTATGATTGTTAAAGGATTCCCGATAGTAAAGTTTTCGATATCGTCCAAGCTAATATGGATAAACCCATTGGAAAACATATCGACAACAATGAGAATGAGAAGGTCAAAATGGTTTACGATGACAATCGGACTTCGAGTTTCGGAAGTGAAGACAATTATCAAAGCATTTGTATTGGTAATGGATTAATATGACATTGCATTCGTTTTAATCGACAATTCTCACCTTTGACATATGAACACATCAGAAATCACACAGCCTTAGTTACCGTGATTCATAAGTGTTCATGTATATTTGAGTCACTAAATGTTCATATGAATACATATACACACACAGAACATGTGAAGACATGTGAGCACGTATGAAAACACACAACCCTAGATGCCTTGGTTCATAGGTGTTCATGTACATACAACAGAGTTGGCTCCTGAATATACAGAAGATGTTCATACGGTTCACATGTCTAATCTTTTTTGTTTGATGTGGTTTGAGGATATACACAAGTTGTTCATATGTCTGACAACTCGTATATCAAAAATAAATTACTTTTTACCTAAATACCCTTTGATATTTTGTTCACATATGTTAATTGAAAATATTAATTTAATAATTAATTTTTAAATATCATTAAGTCACAACCGTTTATTATTCAAATTAACGGTCAAGATCGATTAACAAAGTTAACACGATAATTTTGGTTAGCATTTGAACCAGCCCCTATATATATAGTATGACAAAAACTCTTAAAAACCATTTTGATGCATGAAGTACTGTATATTGATGCATATTACTTAAACTTCAAGATTACAAGTAAGATGCGCAAATACAACTTATTAAAGCTCCATATTTGAATTCGTGTAACCAACTGCAGATAAACATAATCAAATAGATGATAAACATCTCGTTTTAAAATATAAAAAATCTAAAATATAATCAGGATAATTATCGAGTTTTATCAAAATAATCAATTATTATCTTTATAAAAAAATTATATTATTAAACCAAATATAAATTACTTCATTATTGTATCTAAATTAAGTTATAATAAAAAATTGGAATTAGAAAATTACACAAAAAATATGAATTTTAAATAGTTAATTTGATACTAATATCGATATATTTTGTCAAAATTTTATGATATCTTCAAATTTATATTTTATTCAAAAATAAAAACATCACCGTTTTTTTCAAAAACACATAAGACCCTATTATAACATCGACTTAGATAAAGAATAAAATGATAAGAAAGAAAGATGAGATTAATTGTGTCAACTCATGAGGTTGAGTTTGAGTTATCCCATATTGGTTAGAGATTGAAAGATTGAAATAAGAAGATGTGTATAAGAAAATAGGATGAGATTAATTGTGTGAACTCATGAGGTTGAGTTTGAGATTTCCCACATTTGTTAGAGATGAAGGTGTATATAAGAAAGAATGATGAGATTAATTGTGTCAACTCATGAAACTTGAATCATAATGTTATCTTACTTGGATGACTATTTTTACAAACAAATCTTATTATATAGAAATAAAAATGAATTATGTTTACAATCATCAATATATATATA